TATAAATATTGTGATAAATATTGTGTTAGATTGAGATTCTATTATAATTCAATTCCAATCAAAAAAAGAATCTGAAGATCCAAGTAAATCAAATCAAATACTCTAAATTAGTCTCTCTATATTCTATTATGTACAAATATAAAATGAAAATAATGAATTCTATTATGAAATATTAGACAGTAGACAAAAATAATATGTATTTTTTAATCATTTCCTACCTACTTCTACCAAGGCGAGGCTACATCTACCAACTAGGAGGAGACAGGGTATCTAATTGCTAGCTAGGACTGGCAGGGGCGAAGGGCCTTGGAGAACCCTGGACCCTTTGGAGATCAACGAGGGTGGTGTGTGCCAACTATCTCAGCTGGCGAACACCAAGCTCACCACAGGTGGCCGTGCCATTTCATTCCTGTGCTGGCTCTTTCATTTTTGGGCGAGTGACAGAAATCCAGTCTGTAAAAGCGACACTCTTACGGACTGGTTGTTTGATGTCCTTAATTGTTTGTCATTTTTGTGCTTGTTGCCTTGCACTGTTTGTGGCTTTTTTGAGCTTGTAATTTTAGCCGTTTGCTGTGCCTCGCCTGCCTGCTTTAATTTTCCTTTGGGATCCTTCTCCCCACTCAACCCCCACCCCCTCCCAAAAAAAAAGAACTCTGACAGGATGGGTGCTCGAGAATTTGGTGTGACGAGTGCAGTTCCCGTAAGGGATTTTGCTGCTGCTGCTCCTGCTGACGAAAGCTTGGGAAAGTGGTTAACGCCGTTCTCATAAAGGATGTGGCCACTGCTGATGTATCACTCATTCAGGGCAGGAATAGAAGGGCATGAACTTAAGGAGTTGAGGGTGCGCCAGTTGTTCTGACGGTCATACAGTCTGTGTGATGGTAGTGTTCTCTTTTGTTGCCAAATTGTGTGCTGTGCTATGTCCTTTGTTCTCCAGCTGCGGCTTATTTGGAAAGATTGGAAGTGCTGCCCTGTGCCCTGTGTGATGCTGAGATCCTTAAGAGTCTTTCCCAAGTGTGCGGGGAATTGGTGGATTCTATCTGTAATACCGAGTGATACGGTATTGCCTGCTTGGTTGTTAATTTGCCCACGCTCATGAGATCGCTTTGGCTTTGTAAACTGTCAGGTACACACAAAAGATGCTGTTGGCGGCAATTGATGACAATCACCGGGGAACATATGATTTCTTTTATCTTCCTATTGATTTCAAGGTATTTTCTTGTGGTTGGTTGTGTTCTTGACAACAGCCTTGGTGAAGCAGCTTTTGCACTTTGTGTGCCCATTTTTCTCTCATTTCATGCAAACGAGACTTGGCAGGACTCTTGGAGACAATCGAAATCACATCAGTAAATCTCTATTGGTGATTATTGATGTGATTTCGATCGTCTCCTTGTCGGAGGAGAATACCCGTAACGTGCAAATAGTACCAGACCTGTGATGATCAGGATCGGAGTGCAGAGGTTGTCACTCATCTGAACTGGACCTTGTCTCTTGAACTCCCCTTTCTGGTCTGGGTTTGTTCACGACTGCCACACACGCAAAAAAAAAAAAAAAAAAAAAAAAAAACCCGGCTAGTCCAGCAGCAATTACAAAAGCAGCAGGAAAAAAAAAAAAGGACTGCCGCACACGCGTGGTTGTGCCATGAAGTTAGTTTTGACCGTGGTGAATGTTCTCTGTGTCATTGTCAGTTCCCTGTGACCGAATGAATTTGAAATCTTGAACCTTTTTTTTTTTTTTTTTTCACAACACACAAGCCCCTTCTATTCTGTGGGGCGTCAGTCCGGTTGCTTATTACGGGCAAGCAAGAGTACAAGAAAAAAACGAGAGAAGGGATGTGAAGAAGACTCTTACTCGAGGGGGGGCTGCTACGAGCCGACCCCCCCCAAAACCATAGCCTTCCTGGGGGACTTCTGCTGGCCGGCAAGCTTACTGGCAGCACCCAGTCACGCAGCAGAAGAGCTCGGCGGGGGAGGCCCTCCTGGCAGCCTCTCATGCCACAAAACCCAAACTTGGTTGTAGCTACTCAATCAAAACAGGGTCCAAAAAACCAACAATCATCATTAGTGCTATTCTCCTCCTCCCCACATATTCCTTCTACCTTTGATAAGAGTCTTCCTAGGCTTACCCCTGGTCTTTCCCCTGTCAACCTTCAGAACGTCTCCTCACATTCAGTTCCTTCGGGCAGTCCGCCCTTCCGAAGCTCAGAGTACCTGCTTGACATTCGATAGTAGTAATCCCCAGCTTGTAACACAAAGTTTGTACTGTTGCCAGCATGAGACTCCGCTCCCCCCCCCCCCCCCCCCCCCCCCCCCCCCCCCCCCTCCCCCCCCCCCCCCAACCAACTAACCAATCGAAGTCTTAAACCAGCACTACCTCTGTCACTGTTGGGAAAAATGGGAAAAATGGGGAAACTGGCTGTCTTCCCATCTTGTCCGAACTTTTCGGGGGTTGGACAAGGCTTGGCAGTTGGGCCTTGTGGGCCCCTTCGAAAAACAAAAAGAAAAACGAAAACAAAAGATCATGTCTGGGAAGGCCGCGCACCTGCTCACACCAAAATCCGCACGTTTGTATCTAAATGCTATAATGGCCAGTTTCAAGTTTTCATTGTTTGTGTTTCTTGTTTTCTTTCTTTTTTTAGTTTTGGTGCCCCGCCAGAGAGGCACGGTGCAGTCCACGGGCTGGTGACACTTTGTGGAGGAGGGAGGAGGGCATGCCCGCACTATTACTTTGCAGAATGCGTGAACCCGCTTTCCCACCCTAAGTTCAGTTTCAATTTTTTTGCCCTTTTCCATCTTCCGCGGACCTGACACCCTTGCCGCAACGCCCTCACTGAGGGCATACTCACACAACGACTTCGGGCTAGGTATCTACCTGGTATCACGTCCAGAGGGGAGTTTGCTTTTTATCTTTTATTTTTTCTGTGGCTGCGAGCGGGTCGTTTCTTGAAAGTCGGCTGCGAGCACGGAATTGCAAGAGCATGGCTCTCAATGTCTACAGTGTGTTGAGAAGTGGTGCTGATTATTTACACGTTACACTGACGCATCTCTTTGCAAGGCTACAGAAAATGAAAGGATTGAGAGCACAGAACCTTGGCAAGATCACAACAAAATGCCCTCCCATTCATTCAAATGAAATGAGACCTGAGTCTGTAACTTACATTCACAAGGAAGGAAGAAATCAGTTGGAGAAATGACAGTTCCAAGGTACCTGTTCGATTGTCTCTGGCCACAATGCACTCTTGAAGGCAGTCATATGACATATGGAAGTCTGAGGGCGGAGCTGGAAGCTAGCATCTTTTAGGCTTTGAAGTTTGAACTCTCACCCATCTGGACTAATTTGATTTGTGTGTTTGAGTTTATGATTGAGATTCTATGGTGTTTTGGCTTGCTCTGCGTGCAGAATAAATGTAACGTCGGATATGCTTTTATCAACCTAATCTCCCCATCAAAAATTGTTCCCTTTTACCAGGTACCAATTCTTGAAATCCTCCCTCACTCCGTTTGTGCGTGTGTGTGTGTGTGCCTTTTTTTTTTTTTTTTTTGAATTGGGTTGGATCCACCTGAGGGTGGGTTGCGTAAACTGTCCTTATCAATTGGGATGCTAACCCTCTTTTGGCGCAGCGAACACATGACTTTTCTTGCATGTTCTGCATCTAGGACTCTTTTGTTTGTCTACCTGCCTGCGGCGCTCTGTTTACTTTTCGATGTAAAGCAAGTTTAAGCAACCATTTGTTCCCGCCACAGTCTGTCCTCCAACAGCACATTGTCTTCATTCAATGATCGGCAACCTTGCCACTAACTAAGATCCCCAGCTCTGTTTGAAAAATAGGGAGAACAATGGAAAAGTTTAGACCACAATACATTCTCACTTTGCATATTCTGGCCAGAAGAGGAGGCAAGCATATGAGGTCAAAAGCTTGAGGTGTTGTGTGCACCTAGGTTCCGAAGTTCTGATGCAAGTAACCGTCCTGGAAGTGTTCTAAAGTGTTGAATTCACCAGTGATATGCCTTCAGCCATTTTCGTATGATGGGTAGTGGCTCAGGCCCTACAAAAGACTGGCTCCACATTTTCACGGTCTCGTCTTCCTCCATCTGTTCCCTCAATTGGCAGCAGAGACATTGTTAACCACGAAGAGGGGAAATGGACTCTAGGCGAACACAAACACACACACACACACACTTTTTTGGGTGGGTGTGGTTTTGATACAAGGTAATCTGTTTTTTTTTTTTTTTTTTAATTATATATATTTGTTTTTTATATACATAACACACATGATAGTTTTGCTAGTTCTGCCTTGGTGGACTGAGCGGCTAGGTTTTGGCTTGTGCGTGGTGGGAATTTTTATGTGGTTTTTGGTTTATGTTTTCTAGCCTATGATCTGGTTACCGAGCGGCTTCTGTTCTTCTCTTTGACCAAGATGGATGATCGACCACCCTTGCTCGGTGGTGGGCGTGAGTTTTTGATTGGCCACAAGATGTTCTCAAAGAGGCTCAGAAAGTATTCGCTGTGGGTTTGGTTCCCATTGGTGCTTTGTTGGAGAGCACATGGAAATGGGCTGTGCCCACCTAGGGTGCTTCAAGCGGTGGCACCTCTAGGCTGATGTTTTTTTTTGTTTCAATAGTCGTATATATTATGTACTGACTTGCAACTTTTGTTGTGGGGTGCCTGTTGATTCCTCTGTGGCAGTCTGTGCCCACCTCTCTTTTTTTTTCCCAAACGGCTGCAAGCCTATATTTTAAACGGCAAGTACACGGCCCCAGCCTTGCAGAAAGTTTCTGTCGCCACAAGCAAAACTCGGAGGGGCCGCGCGGTGTGGGGCGCCGTTGAAAAAAAAAAACGGCGGCCCCCTCTTTTTTTTTCTTTTTTTTTTCTTGTTTGTTTGGGGTGGACTCGGTGGAGGTTTTCTCAGCATGGCGAAAGAAGCCCAAATCCGGGCTCCGTTCTTCTTTCGAGCGTCGGCTGTGAAAGGCCGGAAAAACGGGTTGTGTAAATTAGTTCTCGAGGGGCTAAAGGGGGTTTAAAGGAGGGTGGCCTTAGTCTGATTCTGTTGTTTTCTTTTTGATCTCCGATTCCGTGAGGATTTCTGATGTGACCCTCGGCCAAACGTAGTCTGTATTGCAATTCTACACTGCCCGAAGTTCGTGCCCAAGCATCCGGTTGTGTATCCAGGCACAAGTTACGTGCCCGGGCGCCTGGACAAACAGCCTAGCTTTTCGCATTTCTTACATTTTTGTGTCTGGTAGTTTTTGAATTCTTAAATCACTCTTCTCTTTTCGTTGTGTGCAGTGCGTACTGTAAACGTAAGAGGCGGCATAACATGGACAGCTACCCCCCCTCAAAAAGAAACCTCTGACAAAAGCAGAACGAAAAGTAATCTCTCCTCTCTCTGCTCCCATTATCTCTTTCATTCCTCAAACAGAGTAGAAAGGGAGAGAATACTGGAGGTGTGGAAGTCTTGTTCCGTTTTTATTCTGACCATCACTCCCAGCGACTTGGGTTAAATAAAGAATACAGAAAAGATTAGCATGGCAGTGCTGGCAACCTGGGTTGAGCTCCCCACCCTTCTCCTCCTCTGGCTGCGGCGAGCAGTCCTCGTTCTTTTCATTTTGAGGAGAATGCAAGCCCCTCCTTTCTGTTGGGTGCTGTTTTCATTTTTGGCTTTGTTTGGGTGTTTGCAGGCATTTAATGGGAAGAAGTGGGAGAAGTTCAACAGTGAGAAAGTCGCGAGTCTTGCGTATGCTCGCATTCAGGGGAAGGTATGTCTTATCCTTGTAAAACAGTAAAACCTATTTTTGGATTGTTTTTTTGGAACAGCAGCCCCCACATGCTCCCAAGGCATTGCATGGAAATGCTCTCTGTTGCAACAATAATCTCTGCAAACATGTCCACTGCATTTCGGCGACTCTTGACCCCAAGAGCACTTGCAGAACTCAAACAATATGTGCCCTTACAGGTCGAAGTCGTACGGCACGACGTGCAAAGTGGCAGTGTGACAAATTACTGGATGATTAGCCGGCATTTACTGCAAGTCGTTGGTGACAGTAAATGCCGTGTGCCAGCTGATGGTCATACTGGCGTGTTCAACCGAATCGAATGGCCGGTCATTATACCTGAATGCAGACTGAAACTTGTGCCGAATCCAGCTATAAAAGCCTATAATCACCGGGCATTCTATTCTTGTGAGCAATGTAGGAATTTCCTGGGTGTTTCTGATGTCTATTAGGTCCAGTGCTTGATACATCTGCCTGTACTTGATTGGATTGGATTGAAATGGAATGGAAGAATGGATTGGATTGGATTGGATTGGATGGAGTGGACACCATTAGTTGAGTGGCCAGAGAAAATCCAGACTTTCTCGTCAAATGGGGACAGCGTTTTGTATTTTTTTGGATGTATATGGGCCATACTTGCAGCGCACCGGCATTGTGCGCTGCGCTGTGTGCGGACCCAAGGTGCGCGCTGCGCGGTGTGCTGCGCGCGTGTGCACAATGTATATTTCCATGTTCTAGCGGTAGATTCATTCAATTTTGCTCATCCTATCGATGGAAGTACCACGAGGCCAGCCGCGAGGATGGAGACTTACCTGCTCTCTCTCTCTCTCTCTCTCCCCCCCCCCTCTCCCTTCCTGACTTCTTCCGCCGCCTCGGCCTTTCTCCCGCCTTCCGCCATCCACCATTGGTACTTCTCTCCCTCTTCCTGCCATCCACCATTGGTACTTCTCTCTCCCTCTTCCCACCATCTCTCTCTCTCTCTCTCTCTCTCTCT